TCTTATACGCCGGCAAATACGGTATATGTCTATCTATCTTCTATCTTTCTATCTATCGTGTGTGTGTGTGTGTGTGTGTGTGTGTGAAATACCACTCACACATCAACACAAAATCTATAGAACCATAAAGCCTACAAACTTGAAATTTGGCACGTATGTTCCTTTTGACTTCTAGGTGCTCACTAAGAAAGGATTTTTCAAAATAACCATCAGAGCATTAGTATTTCGTATATTATTATTAACACACTCTGATGCTAAGGAGTTCTTCTCTCCCTCCCCACCTGAAAATAAATCTGTTCCAAATGCAAAACACAAGCAGATGAGAGGAGTTTCAGTTTTACTTTCACAGCACCCAGCAGCTTTAGTACAGAATAGTTAAGCTAACCCACAGCCAGGCTCCTTGCTGTCTCCTTCTTGCTCACACAGCAAATACTGTTTCACTTTCCAAACACACTGATAGGATTCTAGCCGGATGAATACCAATGGATGCTGGTAGGCAGAGGCAGAATTTTTTCCCCTTATTTTCCTCCCCCAAAACTAAGCCTGACCACATAGTTTCATAGCGAAGCACAGGTATGGAGCTAGTATTTATATATAAACAATTGTTTTGTCCTAGACAGAGAACCAAGATTTCATTACATATGTTACTTACTTTTGTCCGAGCAAACAACAGCATGCCAAACATGGTAAAGAGAAACAGGTGAACAGCTAAGAGCAGCATAACACTATTAGGGAGAAAATATAACGCCAACGTTATTCCTTCATGACAATACAGGACATATGTAGGGAAAGAGATGCCATAGGCAACAGTCAGAAGTGAACCAGAAATATATATATATATTGTTCCTACAGAGGAAAATGTGTCAAATGAGGAAACTAAGCCAAATGCATCTAAAACTAAGAAGGAGGTGATGCTACTTTAGTGGACACCTTCAAATGGCAATGAAGAATTTTTCACTCATGAGAGCAGACTTCCTCCTGTCACCAAAGTCTCAGCTGCAGAAATCTTATTGCCAGCTGGACAGGGGAATGTCATCACTGCTGCTCTTTGGAGCATTTTCATTCTTCCAGCACTGGTCCCAACCCAAACTTATTCAGTTTTCCATTGTTTTCTTTCTCAAATGTTAGTCACAATGTGAAAGAATGTATTTATTAGAGACTGGCAAATACTAGGAATGTGCATTTTGAAGGTGCAATATTTGGGGAACCAGTAGATCATTTGGCTTTTCCTCCAACTGTCCCAATTCATCAGTTTTTGGAGTTTTCCTGAAGGGAAACCTTCCAAAACCATAAGCGTTTGTGGTGTTTTACTTATGGAAAACTGCTCAATTATTGCCAGGATAAATGTTGCCCAAATATTCTACTACCAAAATGTAAATTAGACTTATCTCTAGCAGGCACTATGCATTGTGACATACCTTGTAATTTCTGGCAATGTCCTCTTGATGCTTTTTAGTGTTTTCTTCATCATTGAAGAATTCTGAAGAAGGAAGAAAGGTCGAAGGATACGTCTGATCCTCAGGTTCTAAAAAAGAAAACACTTAGTAATGACCACAAAAGCAGAACAATACCTTTAATTAATTCAGCCATTAATTCAATAATCATTATGTATGACTGCAATAACCACAAAGTCAGATAAAATCCACAATCCCTCGCATAATGCAGTCATCAGATTAACATCCAGATCTCTCTATTGCACAGTAAGAATTAGGAAGAAGCCCTTTGCAGAATTAATTTTCACTTGTGACCCTCCTAAAGTCAAAATCAAGACTTGCCGAGTCCTAAAAACTACTGCAAAATAAAATTACCTTAAAAAGCAGATGAACAAGCCCATTAAAAAAAATCTGTTTTCTGTATAAGGAGCTATTGCTCTGCAGATAACAGTTACTTACTGTAGTTGACTGTTTTAGCTAAGTTATTAGCCTCAGTTACCAGATACATTTAGCGTTTTTGAACTATCCTGACAAATCTTCATAGGATATGCATCTTCTGTGGCCCTCAGCATGCCATGCTAAGGCAGATATAGTTCTCAAGCATATAGTATTGGTACATCTTGGAGATAGGTGTACTGGAGTATGCTGGAAAAATTCAACTGCTGTGAAGGTACAGCGAGAACATAATGCCACAATCAGAACAGTGACCCAGATATCTGACAAGGGATATCTGACATTGCAAAATTTTGTTACAAGTTCTACTTGCTTCTTCTCTATATGGTATCATTTACTGATTGCTTAAAACCAGCACCTTTCCTTTCATCTCTCCAAAATGCTAATCTGAGAATTACCACAAATTTATCCATTTTATCCTCATAACTCTATGAAAGAGGTTAAGTTCAGCCATCCATGGGCTTTCAGTGTGATTTAATAATTAAAACTTCAGACTGGAAGATCAATGATGTACTTCATTGGGTGACCTTGGGCAGTCGATTCTAAACTTACCTTGCAGCAGCATTAGGAGGATAAAATAATTGTGGAAGGTACAATCACACACCCTATTTCTTGGAGTATGAGACACACTTTTTCCAGCCCCAAAAGTGGGTGGAAATGTCTGTGCATCTTATACAGTGAATGTTGCCAAAGCCCCCACTTACCAGCCGATCCCCACCCTCCCAGCAATTTGCCTCCTTGCATCAAACAGCAAACAGCCTGATTAGCACAAGTAGCTGAGTGCCAGTTGGATTGGCCTCCCGACAATCAGCTGTTTCAGGTTGCAGGAATTGCCATTGCCTATTGCCACCTCTGCGTGCCTCATTTTTAGCCTCCGCATCCTGTTTTCTGCCTCCACGTGCCCATTTTCGGCCTCCGCGCACCCCAGGCCAAAAATGGAAAACAGAATGAAGAGGCCAAAAATGGGGGGGGGGGGCGGAGGCAGCAATAGACAATGGCAATCTCTACAGCCTGAAACAGCTGATCATCGGGAAGTCGATCCAACCAAAATTAGCTGCTTGTGCTAATCAGGCTGTGCTGAAGCTGAAACTAACTGTTTGCTGCAAGGAGGCAAATTTCTGGGAGGCAGAGGTAGAGGCAGATTTTTTTTTTCTTGTTTTCCTCCCCAAAAGCTAGTTGTGTCTTATACTTCGGAGAATCTTATACTCTAAAAATACAGTATATCATTCGGAGCTTCTTAGTGGAAGGACAAAATTAAAAGGATCATATTATTTATTACGGCTGTTGTAATTATCATCATACATGTTTATTTTATTACAGAACTCAGACCAAGGTCATGCTAGTTCTAAGTTTTCCATGTGTAAACACAGAATACACACTGACGATAGCAGGTATACAACAAAGCAGCATTAGTGTTTTATTTGTCCCAACTCCGTATCAAAATGAACATGAGCCATCTTTGAATCCATAGATTCCCTGCCTCCCTGACATTCATCCAAGCATCCACATTGCCTTACTTCATGACAGGAAGAACTCAGCGAAATGCTCCAGTCTATAAGGGAGATGAGCAGGACCAGGATGTAGGCCATTAACCATTTGGTTTTCCGAAATTCTTCCCATCCAATTAAGTAGCTCTAGTGAATCAACATATTTGAATATCAGTTAGGCATATTCATAAGCAAAAGGATCCAAATAATTTTCTTGTGATATTTTGGTAAACAGCCAAACCAGCTATTAAGGACATGGAAGATCTGATCATGTGGTAGCTTTGGAGACTATGTTCCCAATCCCAGTCCCTAAAGACAAAATTTTTGATCAAAAATGTTTTAATCTATTTGGTATACATTTATGAGCACAAGCATGAAATCTACATTCCCACCAAACATTATACTTGGATTCTGAGCAACATGCCATGGGCTATCCTCCAAAAAGGGGTGCTTAAAAGATGAGACAAAGCCTGCATTTAATTTCAGTGTAAAGATAGCATTTAAATTAATTGCAATTGTTATGGTTTCTTTCTAAACATTTAATCTTGTATCTTTCCCTTACAAGAAAGATCACAATTTTGCAGCATCTTTCAGGAGATTAAACCCAGGGTTTGGGACTCACAAATGGCTCAGAGTTCTCAGATAATATGCCTCTAATTTAAATTTTCAAAAATGAAATTTTCCTGAGATTTCATTTTTGGAGCTGCAAACAGGCACAAAGACTTTAGTGTACCCTTTTCCAAACTTGGCTTCTTTTAAGATTACAATTCTCAATCAATAGAAACTACAGGCTGTTAATTTATATTTTAAAACAAATAATCCATCGCATCTGGGAGAATTAATTTGCAATGATTAAAATTCCTTTGAACCCACACTTTGGGACCCTGGTAAGTTGCACAGAACAAAGAGGAGATCTGTATCATAATCATCCTTATAAGCTACCAAGAAGTCCCAGAGATAGCAAAAGGAGCAAATCTATCCTGCTATACTACTTTTTTTGTATTTCAGAAGAAAGGTAATTATGAGTGAATGGGTTATTTCTGGATACAGTCATTGTTTACTCAGCTGTAACAGCCCGCAGAGAGTGCCAAGGAGACACTACAATTTGTGATGCATCCATCTTTCAGCATCAGCCTACCTTAAATATTTTGCAAAGGATTATAATGCAATTATGTTAAAGATATATGATGTATTTAGCTTCCCTAACTAATGTATATAACCACCTTTGTTAAATATATACCTCTGGATAGTTCAGACATTACAATAAACTGCCAAATACAGCTGCACTTATATTGGTTCAACAATATAAGATCCTGGCTTAACACATGGGTTCAACTAAGATCCTGGCTTAACACATGGGGAAGAATCAGGTCTTCACAGCCTTCTAGAGGGCCAAAGGGCCTTCAAGGTCTCAGAGGGGAAGGATGTTCCATAGGGGAGGTGCTATGACTGAGAAGTTGCATCTCCTAGGTCTGGTTAGATGACACAGTTTAATAGAGGGGACCCAGATTATGCCCACTCTGTCAGATCTGATGGGACAGATTAGATAATCTTGGAGAGAAGCAGCTCTGCAAGTAACCTGACCCTGTGCCATACAAAGGTGATAACCAGCACCTTGAATTGTGCCCAGAAGCATAATAGAAGCAGTGCACCTTCTGTAACAACGATGCAAACCTAGCAGACTTTTGTGCACTCTAAAGTGTACTAAAGCCTGCTAAAATGTATTCAGAACCATGAAGTTTCTGGGTGTTCTTCAAGAGCAGCCATGTAGAACGCATTGCAGTAGTTAAACCAGGAAGCTACTAAGGCCTGAAATACTGTAAGCAAAGACTTCTGGTCCAAGAACAGGCACATTGGGCATAGAAAATGGATTTGTAAAAAAGTCCACTAACCACAGCTGCCATCTGTTCTTTCAACAGGAACTGGAGGTCCTGGAGGTTCCTATATTGCATACCAATTCCAGCCAAAGGGATACCATCAAGAGTTAAAGGTGGAAAATTTCCAGATCCAGGAGGCCCCAAACCCAAACCCAACCCAACCTGCCAGAGTTGAGTCACAGATTTCCCATCCAGACTCTCACAGCCTCCAGAAACTGAGGAAGCACCTTGAAAGCATTGTTTGCCCAGCCAGAGGTTGATATATATCTACATTTTATGCATAATTATAAATCATATCTTACCCGGTGGTTTCCTGTAGATGTTAAATAGGGGTGAGGAGACAAACACTTCACAGAGAAGGGGCCTAGGGCTACATCCAGGCATGGGATTCTCCCGGTGTAACAACTGGTTCGCTAATCACGCGCATGCACAACTATCACTATTACTTACCTTCAATTTTATTTCAGGGAAGTAACACAGTTGAGGCATGGCAATCTGTTCTGCTGTGCAAATCAGTTGAGCAGATATAGGTGGGTAGAGTGCAGAGATGGGTGGGTGGGCCCAGTGGTGGGATTCAATTTTTTTACCACCGGTTCTGTGGGCGTGGCTTGGTGGGCATGGCAGGGGAAGGATACTGTAAAATCTCGAGTCAGAGTTGGTATTTGCCGGTTCTCCGAACTATTCAAAATGTCCGCTACCAGTTCTCTAGAACTGGTCAGAACCTGCTGAATATCACCTCTAGGTGTGCCCACATGACTGTTGAAGCGAACCAGTTCAAAGCAAGCTGATCATCGCAGCTAGGGGTTCCCCTGAACCAGTCCAAACCGGGAGAATCCCACCTCTGGCTACATCTCTTCCTTCCTTCCAATAATACAGCGTGGAATCAGTGTTGAAGGAAGAAGAACACTGAACAGTGAAAAACAGTTCCTTACTCCTTTCCCCCAAATCTGGCTTAGAAGGATATTGAAATCTGCTGCTCTCCAAAGGTCATTCACAAGTTCAATCAATGCTGTCTGAGTAGCATTCAAGGCCTTCTCCAGCATGCTTTGAAACTGAGCATTTGCTCCCTTCTCATCAACCTTCCCTTAAAAAGATTAAAAATCAGGCAAAGTTATCCAAGACGTGATATGGTATGTATCTCAGAGCTCACTAACCTTTACAGAGATGTCTACTATAAAGACAAGGAAGCAAAGCAGTTCAATGCTTTCAGTCAAGCCACAAGGAGGTTTCCAAGCTTCTGAGCGATATCGAACATCTGATGTGACAGTAAGCGAAGAAGGTGTTTCAATGAAAGCAAGAGCCAGGATTAGTGTAATGGTGAGAATCAAAATCCTTAGAGAGAGAGAAAACACACATGTGGCAATTACAGGTGGGGAAAAAGGCCAAAAGTCATTTTCCAAAATGTTTTATGTCATAAAGTGATAAAGGAATATGCGGTTTCTAAAATGTTGTTTCATGGTGAAATATAATTCAGTTGGCAAAAGCCTCATCAAGTTTTATAAAGACTCCTCGCTCAGCTGCGTATGACAACAAATCACCTGAAGATGCCAGCTAGGGTTGCTGGCAAAGCATCAGGAAATCTATTGTGTCGTCCTATTATCTAAACCAGTAAATCGTGCAGCTCAACTCTGCCCTCACAGAAACTGCTCCTATTTTTAAAAAGTCATTGAAAGAGAAGCAATTAGCAAAAAACTAAAATACTGAAATTTGGAAGCATCAGGAAGGATTGGTGGGATTAGAAAAAGCAGCTGATCTACTGAACAAAACAGAACAGCGTGGGGGGAAAAGTTCTCACCATTGGCAAACTTCTGAATAATACCACCGATAAAGCCACAAGGAGTTAGAATCCACACGATGATTTATAGAACGATACTAAAGAGGTGAAAGATAGAGAGATGATTCAAGCATCACTTTTAATTGGCTCTTCAAATATGGAAGTTAAAGTTTTATAGGTAAATAATAACACTATCGAGGAAACATCTATTCATTACTACACACATTTGGGCCAAAGTAAGACATTCTGTAAACATAAAACATGCAGTTATGTATCAGTTCTGTTTTAGTTCATTTCAGATAGAGCTTTCTTTTTTACATGTTTCCAGAATAGTTACCATAGTCCACAGTTTCTATGAGTTTCATTTATTTATTAAATTTTCCAACCATCTCTTATCGAAACAGGGTCCTTCTGCCAGCCGAATGGCATCTCTGCCACAATCTTCCCATATCA